CAAAAAAATAAAAAAATTTATATCATCAATTTGAAGAAGTAATCTCAAGTTTATATAAAATGAGTTTCAATATTTAATTTTTATATTATATTTAAATGAAATAATATATAATTAAATGTTAGTTTCACGTGTAATTGAAATAAAAATGGAACGGAGTTGACCAGGAAGCACTTTTTAAAAAGAAATAAAATAGATTGAGAAGCGTAACGTTGAAGGTTGGAAGTCAGTGCAGCACAAAATAACAAATATTTGAATTAAAAAAGTAACGAAATGTTTCAATAAATACAAAATGCTAAGTAACGAAGTCAAGGCGGTACCCACAAAAATATTAATAAAGCTGAACTTTGTCCATATTTTTCTGGTTTTTGGGCGGTAAGAGACTAAGAAAAAGATGAATAAGTCTATCTTTTTTATGACTCTTTCCCTCTTCACAGACGCAAACTTTGACATTCCTTTTTTTTATTCAATTTTTATTATCTCTCTTTCACTATATACAACACACAATATATAATTTAACTTATTTTAATTATATATTTAATAATCATTAAGTATTAATCATTTTAATGAAAACATCTTAATATACCTCTTTACGTCCATCGTAAACATTCTAAAAATAAAAATATTCTGATATTGTATTTAAAATTTTTAATTTAACTTATTTTTAAAAATTAATTTATTGTTTGTTGTTTATGAGTGCACGCAATGTTTTATTTTATATATCGCCGCCATTCACAACTATTATTAACAAATTTTAGCTTTGAGTTCTTTGTTAAACTTTCATGGCCGATTGTTCGAGGCCAAGATGAAGGTGAATTGCATGCTTTAAATGTTCACCTTTAAAACGAAGATTAAGAAATTTTAACATGTGTTTGGATCGAATTATTTGGGTTGATTGTTTTTTTAAAAAAAACTGTAAAAATCACCTTATAATTTTTATCAATTGTAAACTATACTAATTTTATAATTTTTAGAAAATTAGCTTATAAATTTGTATTATTATTATTTTTACAAAGGAAATGACTTATATCTTATAAGTAAAATTTTAGAGATTGAGATTAAAATCTATTAGCTTTGATTAGTACATATTATCTATATTCTTTTTTATAATTTTACTTCAAATATTTTTTTATATAATTCAAACACAATATATTATTTTAAAATTATTTCTCGATGTAAAACTTATTTTGAATAATTAACCATGAAATGTATAATTAATTACAGAAATTGTATATTTTTTCAGCTAATCCAAAAATCCATTCAATATTTAAAATATTTTAAAATCGACAAACTTAAAATAGTATAATGCAAGAATCAAAAAGTTGAAGACCATATATTAATTACCGAATGAGGAAATTTCTTTATAAGATAGAGGAAGGAGAAGGATTGCAAAAAAATTATATGTTTATTATGTACGTCACTTATTTTTGGATCTGTCTTTTCATTGTTCAGGAGCATGTTGTCAATTAATCTAGAACACAAGCTGTTGCTGACACACTAATTTGTGTATTTTTATTTTATTTTATTTTATTTGTTTGACTTCACAATGATTATTTAATTCACGTTAAAACGCGGAAAAAATATTAATTATAAGTTTCCATTTTATGAAAGATGCAGCAGCTGAATGTGGGTGTTTTTCATTTTAAAGAAATCAAAGAACACTATTTTGCATATATAGTCTTCTAGATCCAAGTATCTGAAACTATAATTCTTTTATTCTGAAATATTTCACACAAGTCAAAAATATTTACATTATTTTACATAAAATTCAAAACTCAAAAGTTTACTAAAATAAAAATAAAAGTAAAAATCATGCATATATCATTTAAATAAATTCTCATATCTAGAAGCTGTAATTTGATTTCCTTAACCAGCGTAAAATCTTAATCTCCTGTATTATTCATGGTAAGAGTATCCAGAAGCTGAATTCAAGATTTTTTAATTTAAATAAAGATTTGATTACATGTATAAAAGATGCAGAGTCAACGTAGATTCTGGTTCTTTGTTTTCGCAGTAATCAACAGAAAAGGATGTTTAGATGTAACACGCGTTTGACAAAATTTGTATGAAATGTAAAATTTGATAAAGACGTAAACTAAAGCAAAGCAAAGAAATATAAGACTTTCATATACTACCATTAATAAACTATGCATAGTAGCGATAATATAAACCCAGTATTACCAAGGAACCGTGTTTGGAGCCATAAATGGCTGCGTCTGCATGCATGTAGTACTCTTTCTCAGCAACTTCTTTTTCTTCTTTGTTTCACATCCACACGCACACGATGCTTCTCATAAACAATATCGTTTTAATTTTTTAAAATTTATATTTTTTGTTAAATGCTATAAATTATATACTAAATTTGTATATTAAATAAATAAAGCTATAGATCTTAATTACTTATTTTTATTACTCAATACATAGTTTGTTTTAAATGAATAATACTACTTATACATATATTACTTTGTATTTACACAATTTTTACATGTTATTACGTGTCATTTAATATATATTGTAATTCTGTCACTGCTATAAGAGATATGAGACACACGTGATATGCAACTACTATTTCATCATTAAAGACAAAAACGAGTAATTTTAGGTTCTTCCCATAAAGGAAATGTAGCCAAAATATTTTATGTCGGGATGAACGATACGCAAAATTCCATTATCATTGACCAAGAATATTTTTTACATGATTAATAGTGTTTATTGGATTGGATTAATCCAATGAACTACACAAATAGGTCTGAATCAATTAAGTAAGTTTAAGTAAATTTTACACACAATCCAATAACCCAAATCAAACCAATGAAGTGTGTAAAGTATGAAATTGTACCATATAAAAGGTGTTAGGGTTTAATTGTTTCCAACTCTCACTCAAGCAATCAAGATTCATCACAATCCATGTCCTAAAAATATGAAAATTGGATTTACTAAAATATTTGAAATTCAACGCCTTGACAAACAAACTTTTGACCCTAATTCCTTGAAAACTTTTAATAAACCACTGTTTTTGAGAACTCACAAATGACAACAATCCCTATCCCTTAGAGCACCACCAATCACTTGCTTTACCCTAATTCCAATGCCTAATTTAATTTATATTTTCAATCGAAAACGGAGATATAAAATCATCTGAGTGACCAATTGATGCATTGAGAATAGAGGCAAGCAATTAATAAAAGAACAGGAACTTAAGTTAAGAACAAAAAGTAATTGTTATAACGAGTTCAAGTTGAGATTCTTCATCCCTTGAATATACGAATTTAGCTCCTCATTGTATAAAAAATCAAGATAACAAAAGAGAAAGATATTGCAAAATTTGATGCCATGATGATAAATTGATACTCTTCTAAGGCATTGCTTCCACAAACCCTAGATCCAATTTAGAGAGAATCTCTTCTTTGGTTTGGCTTGGTCCAGTTTTTATCCTTTTTCACTAACGATTACCACCGCCATTTATTTTCTAAAGTATATCTCGTATTTTCAAATAAAAAATGTTTTTACACTCTTTCAACTAAATCAATACCAATTGTACCTTCTGTCCAGGCATCAAAAACCTGGTGAAGTATGAGGCCCCGGGTTTATCTTGAAGCATCATAGCGTAGATATTTGGAATTCTGATTTTGCCTAACTGATCTTTGGGTATATTTAAATAATCAGGTTAAATATACACCAACTATTATCAGATAAGAGATTATAGCATAAATTAAATCAATTTATTGAAATAAATTACAAGAATTGTAAACTATTTTGCATTTTCTAGAAATTATTTCAAAAGCTTATTTGACAATAAACAGATAGTTTCACTACAATAACCTTTACCATAACATGCTTCATATTTAATTTAATTTTTTAACATAGGTCATTTATCCATTAGCATCCTAACGTTTACAAAAAAAGCATTCATGAGATTAGAATCAATTCCAGCTTTAGTGGGAATCAAAGATGAAGCCAAAAGTAACCACACACCAATATAGATATCACACAAGGATTGATGCTTAACATCATATAATAAAAAAATTATTGATAAAAGGTGTTATGTTCAGATATTTATGCACGTCTGTAGGGGACCTTTCTTCTGTTTAATACGTCGTAGCAACAACACAATAGTTCAATAACTTAGTGTTTTCACTGGTCCAGCCAAATCTCCATAGATGGGCTTATATTCTCAGAAATTAGTAGAGATTCTACCTAATCATAAGTTATGTTGAGGTACAGGTCCACCAAATAAGGTACATTATAAAGAAGTGATAAACTCCAAATTGTTTCAGAAAAAAGACCAACTGCATAAAAAAAATGCCACAGCATTTATTGTTATAAGCACAACAGAATCATATACTGTGATGGGGCAGGCAGTACCCCCACTATATTCTATATTGACAAATCGTTCTTGTTCTATCATCCTTTTCATGTTCTAATGTGCACCTACCTTTCCAATTCGAGGTGACTCAATCACAAATCTTCACTAGATTAAATGGCTGACCTATTTAGATGCTAAACATATTGAAGTCAGATATAAGATTCAAGCTAATTAAAAACAGGCTTAATTGCACTTTTAGTCTTTTTAATTTGCAGTATGTACAATTTTTGGCACCCCATATTTTTTCAAATTAAGCAAATTGACTTCCCTTTGTCAAATTTCTTTTACCTAAAACTCTCAAAATTCTCATTTTGTACTCAATATTTATAAAAGAATCAAATAAATTGTTTTTAACCTTTTACTCAAAGCTCACTGATCAAAACTAAAGAATTCAGCCAAAATTTAAAAAAAGTGCAAAAAAATCTTCGAACCCTGATTTCACATATCAAAATTTTTACTTCTAAACATTTAAAATTATTTTATATGATAAATTTGTCATAAACTCTCCAAATATTTGAACAAGAAATAATAAGTTAAGGTTTTAAGTATAACAAAATCAATGGAAAGACTAAATTTGCAATACTTTAAAAGTAAAGGGACTTAATTAGCTCTTAAAAAAAGAAAGGAAACCAAAATTGCATATAGTTCAAACTAAAGGGCCTGAAAATGCAATTAAGCCATTAAAGTTCTGATTAATTCTCACAGCACATAATAAAGAAACTGAAACTAGACCATTTCAACGTAGATATGTAAAATATGTTAAGATCAAGACTGGTTGCTAGAAAGTTTAAGAGCAGAACACTTATAAGCTCTGGCAACAAAAAGTAAATGCTGTGACAGAAAAAGAAGGAAATACGAAACAAAGGGAAGTTTCACCACCCCTGCTACACAAATCTCAACTGGAAAGTTGACCAAATATCCGCTCAATTCTTGGGACCATGTTGATCAGTTAATGTGATGCTGGTCGAGTGACCCTTGGCCTCACTGGAGTCTTTGAAGGACTTACCCTGTAGAATGAGAAGGAAAATCACATATTATCAAACCAATTTTAGCTGAAACCTGCATAACAAAGGCTGTGCTTCAGTAAAGGCACCAAACCTGATAGGCTGGGTTCCCAAGAGCATACCGCTACAATTTAGTGCAATAATGGCACTTTCTGCCTACTCAAGAAGAAATATATAGCCAGTCAAGATAATGGTTCCTCTTGTGCAAGTTAACGTAATAAATGCTAGTAGTAGCATAAATAAGAACAACAACAACCACAAAGTCTTCTCTCACTAAGTGAAATCAACATACAATGCTACTGGTCTCAGTTAGTAGTAGCATATTGCAAAAAGAAATTGCTATATTCTTCAACACTGCACATGAAAATATTCTTGCTTTAAGTTTTACATAATAGAAGAGAAAATTATAATGATTTCATAGATCAATTTTTTTATCTATTTAAGAAAATAAACATTTCAATTCATACATCCTCATAATAAGGAAGACCATTAAGATTTGTAAAGTCCCTAACTATGGTTCAAGAAGACAAAAGAACAGTTCAGGAGATCAATGAACTTTAACTCATGATCCATACCCCTTTTTTTGTACGTAAAACAATGAATAATATTTTGGACAGTGTAAACATAAGTTCTTCGTAAAGAGACTAATTCATTTCACATTTTATGCCCATAGAAATGACGCATCATAAACATGAAAATGAAAATTTGGTAGATTCATGACCATAATGTTGGTTGGATATAAATTACTGTATCACCTTTGCAGGGGGAAGTGGATGGTAAACTAACAAATCAGTGACCCAGAAAATGTCAATATAAAAGAAATACATATACTGGTGCATACCTTGAAAGAAATTATACATCGGGAAAGACACAACACAAAAAAAAAACGCAGAAAAACGGTGAAAACAAAAATTCTTCAGTAGTTACAGTTGCCAAGAACCAAAGCAAATAGAAGCATATAGAATCCATAAAATAATCAAGACAGGTGGAATAAGTTAATCATGATGCATTGTTCTCATAAACTATGAAAGAGTAGTGCAGCCAATTAATAGAGTATTGACTGGTATACTCAAGACTAACCAATGCAAATTCCACAAAAGCAATACGAGTTGAATGCACATGGTCCCCCAAAAGCCTCAGGCGTGTAACCTATAAAATAGAAGGACAATGTCAAGCAATACTTCTCACATAAATATGTTATGGCAAATAGCATGAAACAATTATTTTCGGGTCTAACCTCACCACAAGCTGATTCAAAAAAATTCTTCACTTCAGCTTGAGAAACCTGCCGTCAAATTTGAGAGAAATTTAACAATGCATCAAGAGATTCAATTCCAGTATCCATCAACACAAATCCTAGATGCATATGCTATAATTATCCTAGATTTACATTAAGAATATTTAATTGAATCAAGAAGTCCTATCTCATTAAATCACTCATTGAATCTTGCGAACCAGTTGAGAGATCAATTATTCCTAAACTAAATAGTTTTACCAAAAATATCCATTTTGTAATTTCTCAAAATTTAATGACATACCTTTTTATCAATATTTGTACAGTAGACAGTCCTGGTACACATTTCACGCTCATCATCCGACTGCATGTTATAAAAGCAAGAGAACAATTTGAAAGATCATTCACCACACACTAAAGTTAAGATAATTTTCATTGAAAAGAGAAAAAAACGTAAAAGGAAGTCTAGGATATAGGAGAAATAATGCTCCAAACTAACAGGTGGTAAACATAAAATGTGCATTGAAAAGAAACCAGAAAGTATTCATACCCTAGGGAGGAATGTAGGATTCACAGGAAGGATGGCAGTTTTTGATGGAAGAACCCTGACTGGATAGTATCCAAGCACAGTACCACCAAGGTTTAAAGCTGTCCTTGCACCATCTGTAAACACAAATTCCATGAAAAATGCATTATAGGGACTGAAGACACAAGTCTCTCTCTGTGTGTCCACACACCTTTAAGGAGAATTTAAAGGCAGTTGGATTTGCAGGATAAAACTTACGCTCATCTGAAAACTCAACAAAAGCAAAACGGAGAACTGAATGTGGATCGCCACAAATTCGGCAATCAATTACCTTCAATTCAAATAACACAATAAAATGTCATAATCACATAACTAGGGTGATAGTTATGATAAAAGAGTTATTGTTCAAATTTAAATCCTAGATATACAGCTAGAGGATAGATATTACTGTACTGTACCACAACATGCATCAGATAATAAGGTGAGGCAGCACATTCAAATTTCTTATAAATTCTGCCAAGTGACTACTGCGGCTACTGATGATCTTGATATGTCAAACAAAGGATGGTTTAAAATTAAAAAATTAGCAGGTCATACGCCAGTCAATATACAAGAAAGATGGAATCCATTTCTCACTGATGACTACAGTCAAACCTACTTAATTACTACACAACCAAGTCTTATCCCATAAGGTAGGGTCAAACATAGTTTTCAACCCAGCATAGCAGCATGGAATGGCCAACCACAACACAATGAAAGCAAAACAACAATGTAATGCTCTGTTAACCGTAGTAGTTGTGATGGCCACAGTTGGTCCACTAGCCTCCCACCATTTAGGCTCCTATTGCTGCCGCTCCACAAAAATGCAACTCGATGCCACTTTTTGTCAAAGCCAGGTGGCGTGATGCAAAAATAGCAGTGCTGTGGTGCACTATTAACTAGTGCTTTGATATGAATCAACAAAAATGTTAGGCTGTCCTGTATCCAAGACAAAAGTTTTCTCCAGTCTTCCTATCTACCTATTTTAGTCAGACTATCTTCCATGTGCTGGAGTTCTTAATTCTCTCTCTCTCTCTCTCCCTCCGTGCTCAGATTAAGGTCAATGAAAGCAATAAAATATTAAGATTCCTTCAAATGAATGGATTAACAATTTCTTTTATATTTTTTGTAGGGATCTGAGATTTCTAGCTAATATAATAAACCATTTATAAATATTTTCAGTGAATGTATATTTACAATAGCTGATTTCACAAAAAATAAAATAAAAAAAATTCTAGAATTCAATTTCACCAAGAAATATTTTCAAAAGACAACCAGATTCATTTTCAAAAAGCATAAACCTCATATCAGTTATATGATCCTTTGATATCAAGTTAGAAGAATTTAATGGATTTAAGTGAAAAAGAATTGTAGCAATAACAGCATCCAAAAGTTCATAACTAACAGAAGAAGAGGAATGTAAAATGATAGATTGGATTAACTTTGAATTGAATCATAGTGGATGGGTACAAAAACCATTAATCCATTAAAAATGCATTAAAAAAATTTCAATTCATCCATAACCCATTTAATTAAAAAATATTCAACCCATCCAATAACCATTTTTTATGAATGGACACCCAACCCATTCATTTAAAGTAAATTATATTTTATATTTAAAAATGATTTTTATAAAATAAAGTTAAATATTTATACACACTCTGATATCTAAACACTATAAAGTTTAACTCAGTGTGTTACAAAATATGTTGGATGGTTCATTATCCATCTAATAATAAATGATGATCTAATCCAACCCTTTATTAATTTTTATTTTTATAATTGGATAAGTTGGTTGGATTTATACATGAATGAATTGGATGGTTGGTGGATTATTGGATTGAATTGACACCCCCACTAAAGAATAAGCATAAATTGAAACAGGAGAAAGAGAGAAAGGAATGCTGTGCATAGCTGGCTGAAGAAAATAACAACGAAAATCATGCACAAAATGGAGTGACAAGTTCATTCTAAGTGACAGGTCTGATCCATGCAGCATTAAGAGGCATAATTCAGCCAACTATGTGGAAATTAGAAAGAGCTAACAGTTCACAAAAGGTATCAGAATGGCAACATGTCAGCGATGAACATATGGCACAATGGGAGGGAAAAAGAAATTCCAGCAACATAGGATTTGAAGAGTTGAAAAATAAACGATCATAAAGCAAGGCAACAACCATAGTGGTGACCAAATGACAATCAGAAAACAAATTTCACAGAAAAAATTAAAATACTGCACTCAAATACCCTAATTTAAATTTATCAAGCAATGTACTAATTTACAACTAATTGTAAACAAAAAAGAAAGACTAACCAAGCTATCAATCAAGGGTCATAACTTACTTGTCCACAACTGCTGAATAAGGCCGCAAGCCGCTCCTCAGTAACCTACGCCAGGACAAAAGACTGTTTAAATAATTCTGTTTTCTATGATTGGAACAGAGCACTAAAAAAACTACATCATGATAATATTTTATTCACATAATTCTACATTCACTTACATGTTGATCAATATCAGAAACATATACGGTTCTTCTAATACTATCTTCCCTCTGAGCCTTTAGTGATCTTCCACTCAACCTTCTCCTCCCTTGGTTAAAACTATTTCTTCTCTGCAAGATGACAAAAGTGCAAATTTTCAGTAAACACAATTGTAATCAAGATTAATTGGACATAAAATGCAACCTTAATGATAACATCATAGTCATTTCAACAGAAACTTCAATCTTCATATAAAATATGTTATAGGCCCATCAATTTGGAGTTAGCAGTGCAATAAGAGGACAGATAACAGACATGACAAAAATTGTAGTTAGCAATACAAAAGTTATTCTAAACCATAATGTAAATTGAAAAGATAAAAATAAATAATTGCTCATGGAAACAAAATAAGCACAAAAGTAATCAGGGCTTTAAATTGTGGTTGCACTTGAGCTGCATCATGATCACTGAAATTGTAGAAAATTGCAGGCAAATGCAGCCACAATTGCATTAAAGATGCAGTTGCCGACTGCAGTGGATGTAATACACATTAAATACACCAACATAAAATGGAAAAACAACATCCATCCAAGACGCATATAATAACTATGATCAAATACCAAAGACTCAATTCAATTAATTCCAATACAGATACAAACTTCACTGAATGCTTGGATTTTCCATTTCAAAGCCAAATTCTGCTATGGTGCCCTTTCTCTTAGGTGGTGCAGTTGGAACTCTACTTAGTATTTAGTATTTTAGTAATGTTTATCCATTTCTGGGTTAACAGTTATTAATGCTTTGCTTTGTTTCCCTTATACTGCCTTTCACTAAATAGATTAAAATTTATATCTTTACCACAAAAAAAATGTAAAAAAATTCTAAAGAAAATAAGTTTTCATTTCGTACACAAAATTCATGATATATAATGAACTAATCAAAAGCCAAACTACAACTAGAAATGAGAGATCAAAGGGAAAATAATCATACCCTTCGATTGTTAGGGTAATTCTCATCAACTGAGGGCTTAGTGTTGACCAGAAAATTGGTGGGTGAGAGGGGATTAAAGCCCTGATGGTGATGATCATGATTGTGAGAATATGATGAAGGGAAAAACTCCTTGGCCAAAGGGTTCAACTTTGTGAACATGTCAACCAGCTTCTGAACACTGAATTCAGATTCTGCCTTTGGTTTAGAGTCCAATTTGTTGGCATCAGCGGGAATCTCGGCAACCGCAGCCATGGAAATCAAAGCCACCCCACAAAAACCCTCAACAATTTGCAACACTTAAGCTTCAAAAGCTGATATTTTGAGAGCAAAGGTGAAAGAAAAACACAAGGAATCGAAGAGATTCTCTTGTTCTGCACACACCAAAGAAAAAAAAAATGCAGAATTTGCAGAATGTGATCAGATATTTTTCTTTTTCTAAGAGTACGCTATTTCAGAAAAATGGATATGAAAAAAAACCCATTTGATCAATTGCTTAAAAACTTGACCCAGAAATGGAAACAAAGAGATTTAGGGTTTAGAAATGAATCATCACTCAGCGGAGTAGAGAGAGAGAGAGAGAGAGAGAGAGAGAGAGAGGGGAGAGGAGGTGTTTAGAATGGCAAAGGCTTTGGCTTTTGCTACTACTGCCTTGGCCCTTCCTTGCGTTGCGTGGGTTTTTTTTCTTTTCTTTTATTTTTTATTTTGAAAAGACTTGGCTTCATATTATATATATTGTGTAACTAAGCATACATAAAAATCGTTCTTAATTTCGTCATTTATTGTGTTTCATAATTTATAAAAAATGATAAATTAACTAGACATTTATTAGTACACTTTATTAAAAAATTCATTATATTTCAATAAGTATAAAAATAAGTTTTATAAGCCTTTGCAGCATAATAATTGCATGTCTTTATTTTAACGAACCATCTTGGTTAACTCAACTTTTTGATATATGTTTTTACATAAAAAAAAAATTATATATCAAATAAATTAGGCACTGAATCATACTTTAAAATTGAGAATATTTTTATGGCATACGAAATCATATATTCATAGATAGTGTTTTTAATTTCTTTCCTTTCAACATCAAAACTAAAGAAGCAAGAAGGGGTGTGTGAAAAGAAAGGATGCTAAATGATTTATATTAATTAAAAAACAAATGGGGACTCAAAGCAAGCTTTTGTTCCTTTTCTGATTTTGTGTTTCGTCGATTGGATACGTCACTCCTAACTACCACTTATGTATAATGGTTTTTGGTTTATTGAGACTTCCAATTTAATTTTATCCCTTTTTAGTCTTTTGCTTTGTTTATTGTTGATGAGAAGGTTTTTAATCTTCATAATTACCCATTTTTAATTTATAACTAAATAGTTGATTTTACATGCAAGTGTGCAAAAGCTTAGCATCCTTTGCTTTTGGTGGGAAGCACAGTAAACACATAAGGGTGGGGGCTCTGTGGGGCAACGATTTATCGTCTTTATGCGTAGTTTTAAGTGCACATGTTGTTTTTGTCGCCGTCAATATTTATATTGATGTACTCTCTGTTTGCTAGCATGGTCAATGATTTCAGTTCTATAGATTTTATTCATTTCTTTTTTAATTAATTCCAATATTTTATAAAATTTTAACTCAAATATACAAAACTAAAGGAAAATTTGCATTAATAGTTTAAGAATTTAATTTTTATTTATTATTAGTATATATATTTTTATACTATTAATTAATTAAAGTACACAGTAAATATAACATTTAAATAATAAATTTTAAAGTTAATAATTTTTATTAATATAATAATTTATTATTGAATAAAAAATAAATTAAATTCTTGATTAAATTACTACATTGTTTTGTAAAATGCGTACGAAATTACATCAGATACTTTCTGTTTGCGATTTATACAAGTCAACGGTTGCACGTACAACAAATTTTAAAAACAGTTATACATATTAATTATATTTTTGATTTAAACAAAAGTTATTATTCTAATATTTTTCTTTAGTTATTCAAACTTAAGATAAATGCAAATTATCTATAAACATTTTTCGTGACAAGTGGTTTTATCTCCTTTAAAATGGAACACCATCATAATTAGGTAATAATATAAAAAACTTATATATTATCCTTGCATTCTAGTTAATATTAATAATAAGATAATAATTTAAAATAAACCCAGTTCACCACGAGTTAGTCCGTAGATAAATTAAGTGAGACAGATTTAAAAAATTTAAGAACTTGTTTGTTTGATTTTTAATTTTTAAAATAATTTTTTAAAAAATTTAATAAAAAAATAAAATAAAAAATAAAACTTATGTTGACAAATAAAGTTTATTTTTTACATTTTAAAAATTTATTTTTAAAAATAAAAAACAAATAAACTGTAAAAGCTTATTTGTTTCTGTTTTGATTTTTAGTTTTTAAAAATTATATTTTAAAACAATTTTAAAAAATATTTTTAAGAATATAAAACAAACAAGCTCTAATTATTTTACAAATTAACACTTGAACAACTCAGTTCATCAAAACAAATGTACTATAATCGAGTTAACTCAGATATTATAGCTGATTTTAAAGAGACAAACTCTATGACTCCATCACCCCGTTGGACTTTCAGTGCAGCCTGACAGGGAATTGCTGACAACGAAAGACATGTTTACTGTTTCAGTATTGTGTTTACAGGTAAAGATTATGAAATTATTTGATTGATTTAAATTTATAGAAAAACGATTATTTACAGGAAAATAATTAACTGTAATAAATATTTAAACATTTTAATTGGGAAATTCTCATATTACATAAGCTAAGAAAATGAAGGTTATACAAAAATTTATGTGAAAAAAAATCGTGTTGATAAAACTGGATTCAAACATTTTAGTTTTGTCTCGTGGCAGTTTGCCACCTTTAGAATAAAATGATTGAAAGTTTTTATTAATTAATTAAAATGTACGTGTGATTTTAAGTTTTTAACTAGATTCACATTTTTTAAGATTTAGAATAACGTAGAAAGTTTACAATTCAGTTGTGCATATAAATTAAACTAATGATATTTTAGTATGTATTATTAATTTTTATTAAAAATGTAATGAGTTAAAATATTTTATATTCTATTTTACCTTTAATAAACGTAGAAAGTTTACAATTGAACTAATAATATTTTAGTATATTATTAATTTTTATTAAAGATGTAATGACTTAAAATATTTTATATTCTATTTTTACCTTTAAATCGTAAAAAAAACTATAAATCATTGTATAAATTAAATGAGAAAAATATTAGTTATTTTATAATTTGATTAACTAACATATGCATTGAATTTTGGAATATACTCACACCGAGCAAGGCCTAAAATAATATAGTTACATGTTAATTTTATATAGTATGTAAAAGTAGAGAGCTATGTGTTACTACTACTCAAATCATAACGTGAATTTTATTTTAGTTAATTAATTAAGACAATAAATATGATTTAATTCTTAAAAGAAAGTTACGTTACATGAGACATAAGGATATGGGAGTATATATATCTCTATGATTTTATAGTTATATGTTAATGTTAAAAATTGTTAAATGAGAAAATACTATAATTGATTAATAAATTAAATATTTGATTAATTAAGATAATAATTATGATTTTATTTTTTATGAATAAATTGACATTGCATATTTTAGAGTGTATAAAAGTAGATAAATTTCATAACGTTATAATATTGTGTAAATTTTATTTATCTATTATTATTATTATTTAGAAGAAAAAATTAACAAAAAAACATAAATAAAGAATTATGGAAACAAATTATTAAATAAAAATTATTTATATTTACATGACAATAACAATAATAATAATAATAAAATAAAAGCATAATTAACATCACATTTAATTTTTTATGTTTATTTATTTTCATTGTTGTTGTTATTATTAAAGATTTAGTATTGAAAAAAGAAAATAGATGCAAAGATAATTTTTAAAAACTAATATTTACATCGTATACAACATTAGTATTGACAATAATAATAAAAATAACAATAAATGTAATATTTTAAATATTTTAAAAAAAAATTATTTATATTTATTTGATGCAATTGTTAGCTGTTGAAAATTTTGAGTAAAGTGATTCATAAAATGATGTGTTGCAACCATACAATCATAATGGTACAGTAAAAATATTTTTAAAAAAAATCAATTGAGTTGCCATTAAAATTTATCAAAAAAAACTTTAGAAAAATTTAAAATTTTAATCTTTGAGACCAAAACTAAATTCGAGAGTCATTTATATGTAAAAAATGTATTAGCACTTCTATTTAAATAACAGTTACTTTAAATTAATTGTATAAATTTATTATAATTTTAAAAAGTATTTATTTAACCCTTAAAAAATAAATGTTGTTATTTTTTATTTTAAAGAAAGAAAACTTATTTAAATATTGTTATATCTTAGAAAAGAAAAGAAAAATTAAAGAACTATTTTGACTCAACGGGTCTGATTCCCACTCCTATGTATCTCTGGGTATAATGAAGAACTTAAAGTCACATAGTTCTATATAAAAAATTATATAATTATTTTATTAATTAGAAATTTGTAAGGTTTTAAAAGAGCTTGTTTTAAAATTAATTATATTTTTTAAAAAATAAAATAAGATTCGTTTATATATTGTAGGATGTAAGATAGCGTAGCTATACATGTTACCCTAGCAAACAATACGAAAGGCAAAGAAAAATTATACATCCATATGGTAAGTCATTGTAAAAAATTGTGATAATTAAGATCAAATATTTTAATTTACAGAAAATTATTTTTAATATATAATTTAATTAAAAATTTTAATATTGAAGAAATTTAAGGCAACGTAAACTATATATAAATATCTTATGACTCATTTGTCGACTAAAGAAAATGTAAATCACATATCTATGTCGCAAAGTATTATATAATAAAATGAAGAAGTATACTTAAATAATTGAATATTTAGTTATTTAATTTATTAAAGTTAAAAACATGATTTACATTTTTTAAATATGTTAATTGTATTTAATGAAAAATATTTAAAGGGAACCAATTAATATATTTAAGTTAATTAGTAAATATAGAAATTTAATTAAGGAAAGTTAAAATATATTTTTTAAAAGTTTATATTACGTGAAATCAAGATAACTTTGGTATATGAAGTTTTTAACGATTTAAAACATATAAAGGTAAAGACGCTACATTATAACGTTATAGACCGTGAATTAAATTAGTTAATGAATTAATTTTTTGATTATTTATTGATTAAGGGTAAAAAATTTAAAAAAAGATGTTTAAATTAATCATTTTACAAATTACTGTATCAATGAGATTATTATTATTATTAAATTAATTAATAATTGATCATTTGATGATTAAAATAAAAATACAAATATAATTTAGAAAGGTAAAATAATTCATAAAATATTATTTAACTTTATAAATTTATATTACATGAGTTAACAATAACGTAGATATATATTAACTTTGACGATTTACAACGCATAAAGGTAAAGATGTTACAAATTAACATTATAGATTGTTGCGTTAATTAAATAGATTAATTTTAATAAATTGATTAAAAGTTTTATAATTAAGGAAAAATATTAAATATAAT